TTGCGAGGATGTCGAGCGAGTCGCTGGCTTCGGCATCCCAGGCGGCCAGATCGTGGGGATGCATCGAGCGAGGCGCTCGGTTTTGCACCTCCCACCTCTGTCCATTCAAAGTCCCATGATCACTTCGATGAAAGGAGAAGGCGTGCCACCAGGACAGAGGAGGACGCAGGTAGAGGGAGAAGGGAGGAGGAAGGAATAGAGAGAGAGAAAGAGGTACGACGAGTGGTAAGAGGACGAAGAGAGGAGGGCGCCTGCTCACCGCGCCTGCCCGTCTGTGAATTGTCGTCGTCGCCGTCCCTCATTGCAGCCGCCGCCGTCGTCGTCGTCGCCGTCGCCGTCGCCGTCGTCATCGTCGTCGTCGTCGGCGGCGGCGTCGTCGTCGGCGTCGTCGTCGTCATCGTCGTCATTTTCGTCGTCATCGTCGTCGTTATCGTCGTCGATTCGATTCGATTCGCGGGGCCATGAAGGCGAATCCAGGCGAGCGGGCTACTCGCCCGAGCACTCGCCGCCAGGGCTCAGGCCGCGGCCGCGCCGCGGGCGGTCGCGGCGGTCCTCCGCGGTGGAGCTGGCGGCCAGCGCCCGCTCGGCGAGGCACTGCTCGATCTGGCCGCACGCGGCCAGCATGGCGAACCGCGGGTCGATGCCCGCCGCCACCTGCAGCACCGCCGCCGACGGCCGCGTCGTTGGCCCCTGCTCGCGGCCGCCTGCACACCCAGGCGCTGCCGCTGAACTGCCACATGCTGGCGGGGGGCCCTCTTCCACCTCGAGGCCCAGCCAGGCCAGGAAGACCTCCTGGGCCGACGGGGGCAGTGGCCCCTGCAGCCTCAGCGCGGGGAACTCAGCACCTTTCTTCATGCGCTGCTGGACTCCTCCGCGCGGCCGTCCACTAGGATGAAGCCCTCGAGCCCAGAGGCGGCGCAGGCTGCGCTGCCCGATGGCCCCTGCCCCGATGCATGGCTCCTTGAGCTGAGGGCGGCCTCCAGCGCGGCCGCCGAGGACCATGCAGGCGCCGCACATGCTGCACGCCACCAGCTCCTGGGGCTCCTCGCCCGCGTCGCGGAGCGCGTACGCCAGGGGGTGGCCGAAGTGGCCGGCGCCAGCCGTGGCGAGGGAGAGGCCGACCGCGCTGGCCACCGAGCGGACGCTCTCAACGCGCGGCTGCTGCACCGTCGGCCTGCCTGCAGCGGCCTGCTCGGCCCGCTCCTCCTGGTCGGCGAACCTCACCCACTGCCTCTCGTCGGACCCGAGGAGGCAGTCACCGTCCTTCTCCGCGATGTCCCGCCAGACGACGGCCGCCTCGGCGCGCAGCCGTGCTCCCAGCTCGGCGGAGCAGCGGGCGCGCAGGGTGCCGCGCCACTGCGCCTCCGTGCGTAGCCCGTCGAGCACCGCCTGCCTGTTGCCGTGGGCGGCCACCTTGTTCGCCCTGGAGCCACCAGGTCCGAGGGCGGCGGGGCACCTCCAGGGGTGGGCGTTGGCCTTGGTCGGGCCCGTCGCAACGGCCAGCTCCCTGTGCTGGCTCTCCGCCGTGCCGCGGAAGCCGATGAGGGCCTCCTCGACGGAATGGCCCGCGTAGATCACAAACCTCCAGACCGCGAAGTCCTCGCCGCCACGGGCAGCCTGCTGTGGCTGGGGGGCCCTCCTGACGGTCCCGTGGGCGCCCGCGACGAGGCTGCCGTCGTCGTCGCATTGAGCAATAGCCCAGCCCGCGTGTCCCCAGGCGTAGAACTGCAGGTCGACCGACGAGCCGTCCACGCTCAACTTGCCATTGGCCTTGACGTCGGACGGCCTGCATGTCCTCCAGCTGCCCATGGCGTCCGTGCGAGGCCCTTGTGGGGGCGGCGGCGCAGACAACCCGCGCCGAGCAACGTCCTCCCCTGCTGCCACTCCGAGGGGGCGAACCCGCACGGCGCTCCACGCCAGCGCTGGCGAGACCGAGTCCCTCCGCGGGGCCGCAGGCGTGGGGCACTCGAACCTGCTGTGGCGCCTCGCCTGCGGCCAGTGCGCGTTCGTGAGGTGGGGGGCCAGCCCGCTCCTCTGGCGCTCGCCGAGCTCGCCTCCTGGCCCGATGAGCTCCCTGCAGGCATCCCAAGAGGAGGAGCCACACAAAGACGGGGCCCTGGCCAGCTTCCGCATCTCATGCCGACCCGAGGCGCGCCTCGCCCCTAGGCTGGCCTCTGGGCCAAGCTCACGAAGCCCCATCAGCGTCATGTCCCGCACGTCCGTGATGAGGCACTGCCCGGACCTGAAGTGCCAGCCGATGCTGCCCAGGGTGAGGACAGCTGCATCCACGGGGAAGTCGCGGTGCGCCCAGGGCTGCGCTGCTGACGCCTGCGGCGGCGCTGCAGCCTCGGGCGCTCCTCTGAGCATCGGCGTGGGGAGCTCGCCCGAGTGCAACCATCCTGCAAGACTATGGAGCGCGCAGTCCGTGATCAGCACGGGCGGATCCAGGTCGATGGCCCTGCGGGGCTCCCCGCGCCGCAGCCTGAGGCCGAAGGCGGCGCCGCGGGTGAGCCGCCCCAAGCAGGGGCACGCGGTGACTCGCCCCCCGCGCAACTCTCCGTCAGCTTCTCCAGTAACCGTCCGCCCCCATGCCACACTGGACGTAGGCCCAGCCTCGTGGATCGGGTCCTCGGCGATCAGGTGCGCGTCCTCCCGCGCGCTGCAGGCCTCGAGCACCTCCAAGGCACGGTCACTTGTGTTGCCGTAGATGTCCAGCACGTCGAAGCCTGCACGGAGCGGCCCAGCCACCTTCTCACAGGCTGGCACAGCCCTGCCCGCTCTCATCTCAAGGGCGGCTGGCGTGAACCCGGCGGCGGCTCCGCGACTCCCATGGGGCGGGGCAGACGGCTGCGACGTCGGAGGGCTGAATCCTCCCGCCGTCTGCCCGCTCGAGGCCGTCGGGGGGACGCCTCGGCGGTCCCGACCGCACCTCGGCCCAGGAGCGGACCCGCCTTGCCGCCGTGGCTCCCCTCGCGTCAGGTGCAAGGTCGGCCAGTCTGACGGCGGCGGAGGCGGCGCGGGTCCCCAGGCTGTCGCCGCTGCCGAGCGGCTAGGAGCGACGAGGGCCCATAGGAGCGTAGCCCCCAGCAGCTGCCAGGGTAGCCAAGGCCTGGCCGTCCTCGTGCTCGTCCCTGGCATCCTCAAGGATCCTGCGCTCGGCCTTGCCAGGCTGGGGCCAGGTGCCGAGCGCCGCGCCTGACTGCCCGCGGGCGGCGGCTGGCCCGTAGGGCCCCACTGCTGGGCTCGCCCGCTGGGTGGGCGGGCCTGGCCGCACCTGCTGCCCCGCGGCCTCCGCTGGCGGCCGCTGCACTGCGGGGGCGGAGGCTCCAGCGGCCGGGGCGGGGGGGCCTTCCTCGTCGTCGACGGCGAGCCCGTCCCCGCCGAGGCCGTCGGCCCAGCGCGAGGCTGCGGCAGCAGGCGCAGCGGGGTGGAGCATGTCCGAGATGGCTGCACTCTGCGTGGCAATGATGCCCATGATTTCCAGGAGCCTGGGCGCGACGCCGTCCGCGTTGCGGCCGAGCATCTCCCCCGGCTGGCTGACCTGGGTGACGAGGCCCCCGACCGCGGTCTCCAGGGGCTGCTGGCCTCCGCACACCTCGATGGCCCGCTGGAGCGCCTGCTGGACTGTCTGAGCCTTCGATTCCTCGAGCTTGACGAGCAGGCTGTCAAAGTCCTCGACCGCGGACTCCGTCTCGGCCAGCTCTTCCTGTATCGCCGCAATCCTCCCTCTGAGGGAGTCAGCCCGCTGCACGGCCTGCTCGCGCTTGGCTCTGGTTGCAGCGATCTGCTTCTCGACCTTCTGCATGGCGTTGGCGCCGCCGTGGAGGACGGCGTGGGGGGGCCTCCCGAGCCGCTGGGCAACGCGGAGCTCGGCCTCTGCCCCCTCGGCCGAGGCCTCCGCCGCGAGGAGGGCCGCCCTGGCCTCTCGCTGGAAGGCCTCGCTGGTCTCCTCCATGGCGACCGCCTCGCGGAGGCTGGAGACGCGAGCCTGGGCTTCCTCGAGCCTGCGCTCCAGACTCGACGCTGGCTCCTCTGGCTGCTCCCCGCGCTCCTCGCGCCAAGGCGGCGGCTTGGCACCGCCCCGCGGCCGCCCCCTGCTGTTGGGCGCGCTGCTCGGCACGGTGCTGGCGGCCGAGGCTGTCCTGGAGGCGTCACCCGCTCGGCGTGCTGCACGCTGGTGCGAGCGCCCTCTGGGCTGCTGGACGAAGCCCTCACCGTCGGCCTGGGGCAGGTGCGCCGCGCGCAGGCGCTTCGCCCACGCTGGCGCCTCCTTCCCGCACGACTTGCAGGTCGCCCGCCTGTCGCACCAGTTCCACTCCTTGCACTGGCAGACCCAGTACACCCTGCGCCGCGGCGCTCCAGTCCCGTCGCCCGACATGGCTGCTGGCCCCGCGCGATCCGCCTGGCCACGCTGCATCGAAGAAGCGAAGCAAGAAGCTGGCCCAGGGCGCGGCGTCCCTCGCGCTCGACAGCGCCCGAAGGACTTGCGGTCGTCGGGATCGCCATGGCCTTGAGCCAAAATGGCTACGGATCGTTATCGTCGTCGTCCTCGTCGTCGTCGTCGTCGTCGTCGTCGTCGTCGTCGTCGTCCACTCGGACTCGCTCACACACCCAGACACTCACGGCCACACACTCACAACAGGACGTGCCAGGAAATGAGATACAGGGGATCTCCGCGCCGAATAATTTCAATGTGCGGTCCCCTTCCCCAAGGGAGTCGTTGTTTGACGATCCAGGGGCTCGGCGAGGGCACCCGGAGGCTGGAAGCGGCTCCAAATTTCTTGTCATGATTTCTCCACGACGCGAGCATGCCTGGGGCAGGGAGGGGGGGGGCAGGAAGGTAGTGGCGGGACTGAGAGGGCTGAAGAGAGGGCGTGGAAGAAGAGTGACAGCGGGGCAGCGAGAAAGAGATGGGGGAGGGCGTATGCAGGTGCGGCAATGAGGGAAGCTACGAAGGCAAAGCCGGGGGGGGAGGGAACAGCGACCGCGCGCGGGGGCGCCTATTGCCCGTGATGGCCGCAAGCCTGAAGTCCAGCCGGGCGAGGCGGACCATCGTCTGCGCCAGGCCACCCTGGCCGCCGCCCCCCCCGCCCGTTGGGCTCGGGAACGCGTAGGCCCCAGACATGCATGCGTCGGGAACATAATCAAGACAGGACTGTTTTGGCCATTTTCGGCCTCCGGGGGCCCTCGCTGGGCCCCGGGACCGCCAAACAACGACTCGAGATCAAAAAATGGTTCCGGGTGAGAGGCGCGTATTGAACACATCAAAACATCGCATGTCTTGGGCAGGAGGACGAGTAGCAGCAGTATGTGACATGTTTACTACTGATCGTGGAAGTGGAGATGGTGATAGGAGGAAGACAATCGAACGAGGACATAAGAACATCAGGAACGAGGGGTCAGGAACAGAGCCCACGGGCAAAAATGGCGGGGGCCGCTGGAAGCACCCCGTGCGGGCAGAGGGAATACGGCAAGGCGGCTACGCTGAGCGCGAGGAGGACGAGGCGGAGGAGGGACGGTCACGCGAGAACATCTTCACGCCTAACTCTCCAGCGCCGTGCTCTGGCACCCCTGCCCCGTGGGGATGTATCTACGACTTGCAGCATCCTGGGCTGCTTACGGGGCTGGCATTTGACTGCCCGTTGAAACATTTCCACGCTTTTTTGGTGCGCACGGGCCTTCCTGTGGCGGGAGCCCACCGCGCCTGGCTCCAACCCGATCCAAGACTGGATTCACCACGGGCCCGCGGCCGGGTCCATCTCTAAGCGCGGACCACGCTTGCCGATCGAGGACGCGTGGCGCTCCCTTGCGAGGCCTCCCACATGGGTCTGAGCAGATGGTGCGGGAGGAGGATCCCACATCGCCGACGCATCAGCCATGCATCGGCGCCGTCGGAGTGGAGAAAGTCAGGCTCCACATCGAGCCGCAGCACCGATGCATCGGCGATGCGGCGCGATCGTCCGACCCCACCTGCTCGAACCCCATCTTGGAGGCCTGGATCCCCCCCTCGACTCTGATCCCCAGGTATGCAATGTCTTGATTTTTCAATGCGCGTTCACCGAAGTCCCGACCCTTTCCTCAAGGCCTGTTTTTCATCCCGAGTCGTTAGTTGACGACCCCGGGACTCGGCGAGGACCCCCGAAGGCCGAAAATGGTCAACAAACCTGCATCGTGTTTTTCGCGACGCAGGATCGAAGGATCGCACCGCATTGCCGCTCCGCATCGCCGATGCATCTGCGACGTCGCCGTGGATAGAATCGGGCTCCACATCGAGCCCACCTGCTTGGACCCCATCTGGGAGGCCTGGACCATCCCTCAGAAGTCCCGACCGCTTCCCCGACGCGGCCGCAAGAAACCCTCGCACATGACTCAGCCCTGAAAATCCGCGCGCGAGAACGCAGCAGCTTCTCAACGGCTGTCGGAAGCCGCCGCGCAGCGCGCGCGCGGTGAAGAAGCCCGAGGTGCCCTGACGAAAAGCGTCTGGTCTCTTGATGCGCGTCCCCTCTGTAGGTGTGCCGCTTCTAGGCCCATCCAATTTCGAAGCGCTGGGCATGCCCCCGATCCCCCGATATGCGATTGGCTGGCTCGGCGGCGCGGGGGTCGTCGGGGGTCGTCGGCGGTTTTCGGGAGTCGTCGGGGGTCGTCGGGGGTCGTCGAGGGTCGTCGTCGTCGTCGTCGTCGTCGTCGTCGGCAACGGGCGTCCCGCATCGCGCCTGCGCCCGGAAGCGCTCCAGCTCCCGCGCGTCGCCCTGGTGCAGCACCGTCTTGTCCACGTCGAAAGCCGCGAGCGAGCGCGCGGTGCCGCGGCAAGTCACGACCTGGTGCCGTTGATCCTCCTCTTCGCTCCTTCCATCCCTCGCTCTTCTCCTTCTCCTCTTCCTCCTCCTCCTCCTGCTCCCTCTTCCTCTCTCCGCAACCGCTGGGCTCGGTTCCCACCGGTCGACGCAACGCGCCCGGCCAATACGCGCGAGCGCGCGCCACCGGGCCCCAGCGCGGGGCCTACCCGTTCCGACGGGGGGGGGAGGGGGGAGAGAAAGGCCACCCATACACTCATGATCTCCCTCATCCTCTTCATCCTCCGCCTCCCTCGCCCGAGCGCGCGCACACGGGCTCCCCCCCCCCCCACACACACACACACCACCGCCGTACCTGGCGCGGGCCATCTGGGGGCCCGGGCACGACGCATCCGCTATCGTGGCCGAAGCCAGGAGGGCGCACGCGCTGTCCGATCCCGGGGCCCGGACTTCGTGGGCGGAAAACGTGTGCTTGGCGGCGCGCGCAAGGGGGTATGGGGGGAGGGGGATGGCTCCTTAGAATGAGGCTGCTTCTTAGAAGGCGCCAGCCTCATATCTATAGATAAGGCTCGCGCCTTCTAATAGACAAGATGCTTGTAAGAAACCTTGCCCTCTCCCCCATACCCCCCTCTGCGCGTGGCCGATGTGCATCAGCCAATATGGAATGACTTGCCGACCCAAGTCTCTGACAAAACCGCTGGTATTTCCTCAATTTCGGCCCCTGGGGGCCGTCAGCCATTGAACTGAAACGAAGAAATACCCCTGGGGAACCGGTCGAGACCACTGGGCAGGCAGCATCGAATCGCAAATCCCACCAGCCCTCAGGGCGTAGGTGGTTTAACGAGTCTTGTATTCTCTCTGCCAACAGCCCCTCCTTCCCCTGCTCGGATGAGGGGTCTATCATTGTTCCCTATCAATATACACCCCCTCCTCCAGGCGACCGGCAGCCAACCAGGCACCATGAGAACCCCATGCTCACCCCCCCCAACCATCCCTTTCAAAAAACAATACAAAACGCACTCTGCCTCCACATGTGGAGCATGCACGGCCCTGTGGAGAAAACAATACAAAGTACACTTTGGCACAGAGTCTGGAGTCCGCCGACCCCTTGCGGGTCTCTAGGCGTGTGAGATTGTTCCCCCCCCGTAACCCCCCCCACGGGGCCCCAAACCGGCAATTCAACCCCCCCCCCTCGTGGTGGACGACCCTCCGCCGAACTCACCCGAGGCGGTCTGGGCTCCCCAGGCTCGGTTGGGAGCCTCCGACGCCACCCCCAAGATGGCCCAAGAGAGCACAAAGTCGCCGAATGATCGCTTCAATACGCCCAAGATGGGCCCCAGGCGGCCTAAGAGGGCGCCACGACGCTCCAAGAGGCTTCCAACCGGCTGCCGAAGAGGGGCCCCAGAGGCAAAATTCGTGCCATTCCTATGGGAAATCGTACATTTTTGGCATATGCGCTTTTTCGGCCAACGCGGCGTTGACGCTGGCCCACGAGGCCGCCAAGACCGCTCCAAGAAGGCCCAAGAAGCTTCCAATAGGGCCCCGACACGGCCCAAGCAGGCGCTAAGACGGCCCAAGAGGCGCCCCAGACAGCCCAAGAGCCTCCGACGCCACCCCCAAGATGGCCCAAAAGAGCGCAAAGTCGCCGAATGATCGCTTCAATACGCCCAAGATGGGCCCCAGGCGGCCTAAGAGGGCGCCACGACGCTCCAAGAGGCTTCCAACCGGCTGCCGAAGAGGGGCCCCAGAGGCAAAATTCGTGCCATTCCTATGGGAAAACGTACATTTTTGGCATATGCGCTTTTTCGGCCAACGCGGCGTTGACGCTGGCCCACGAGGCCGCCAAGACCGCTCCAAGAAGGCCCAAGAAGCTTCCAATAGGGCCCCGACACGGCCCAAGCAGGCGCTAAGACGGCCCAAGAGGCGCCCCAGACAGCCCAAGAGCCTCCGACGCCACCCCCAAGATGGCCCAAAAGAGCGCAAAGTCGCCGAATGATCGCTTCAATGCGCTCAAGGTGGGCCCCAGGCGGCCTGAGAGGGCGCCACGACGCTCCAAGAGGCTTCCAACCGGCTGCCGAAGAGGGGCCCCGGAGGCAACATTCGTGCCATTCCTATGGGGAAGCGTGCATTTTTGGCATATACGCCTTTTCGGCCAACGCGGCGTTCACACTTGCTCACGAGGCCGCCAAGACCACTCCAAGAGGGCCCAGGAGGCTCCCAAGAGGGCCCCAAGACGGCCCAAGAAGGCGCCAAAACGGCCCCAGAGGCGCCCAAGACAGCCCAAGAGCCTGCGACGCCACCCCCAAGATGGCCCAAGAGAGCACCAAGTCGTCGAATGATCGCTTCAATGCGCCCAAGGTGGGGCGCCGCGACGCTCCAAGAGGCCTCCAACCGGCTGCCGAAGAGGGGTCCGGAGGCAAAAATCGTGCCATTCCTATGGGAAAGCAGGCATTTTTGGCATATGCGTTTTTTCGGCCAACGCGGCGTTGACGCTGGCCCACGAGGCCGCCAAGACTGCTCCAAGAGGGCCCAAGAGGCTCCCAAGAGGGCCCCAACACGGCCCAAGAAGGCGCCAAGACGGCCCAAGGGCCGCCCAAGACAGCCCAAGAGCACCCCCAGGCGGCCCCAAGAGGGGCCCAAGAAGGGGAACCCGAACCGACAACCCGAGCCTTCCGCCCCCGGAGGCCCCCAAGAGGGCCCAGCGGAGCGGCCGAAGGCGCCGAGAACCCGTCAAGACATCCCAAAAGGCCCCCCGATACGCCTTTCAGGAAACACTAAGATACCAAAATCGCCGAATTCCTTTTCCTTGACCTCCTTCTTCTCCTCTTCCTCCGCCGCATCCTCCTCCTTCTCTTCCTCCTCTCCCTTTCTACCGCATCGCCTGGTCAAACAAGGCCCAACGCAGCGCGTGGCGGAATGGGCGGCAGCCGCGGCGCCCGCGGCCGGCAGCCACGATGCCTCCCAAATACGCCGCGGACTCATGAGCGCGCTCGCCGCAACAAAACAAAGGGAGAGGCCCCAGAAGCCAAAATTGCCCCATTCCCATCGGACACAATCATTCTGGGCATATACGCCTCTTCGGTCAACCCGGCGTTGGCAGTGGCCCGCAAGATCGCCCAGACCGCCCCCAGAAGGCCCTTGAGGCTCTCAAGAGGGCCCCAACACGGCCCTCAGCATAGCTGTCCTGTCAGAACGGCGGTGGCGACGCTGCGGGCATGTCGCGCGTCCGCGACGGCCCCCGGCAACTATGGCGCCCTTCGCCCTGCGGCAGCGCGGGCCGAGGCCAGCGTAAGGCTCCTCCTGTGCTTTCGCCCCCTCCTCAATCATTGTCGTTCTCGCCCCCTCCTGCCCCCCCCTCCCCCTTCCCCTTCCCAACGTTCGGGCGCTGTCTCGAGCGTTCACGTGGATCTCGCGCGCGCGCCTTGCACCGCAACGTGCGTCTTTCCACGGCGCGCGCGAAATGCGGTCCAACCGTGAACTTCGACTTCGGCAGCTTCCTCTTGCAGGCGCCGAAGCACTCGTGCGCTTGCGCGCCGCGAGCCGTGAAGCCGACTGCGGCGCGCTCCGCGCGTGCAACTTTACCCTTCCTCGTGCAGTGCTCGCTCTCTTATTTGGCGCTGATGTGCTGCTGCCGTTCGAACTCCTTCTCGCATGCTGCGCGCGCCAGCAGTCGCTTCAACCGTTTCGACTCCACGGCGACGCCTTTCGCGGTGATGCCCCGCTTGGCACAGCTTCCGCGCGCCACTCTTGCTCCCTTTGTCGCCCGGTGGCCCTTCACTTGGTCGCGGTTCAATGGCCGACCTCCCAGAAGACGCCCCGCGCCCGGGCGCGCAGCACGTCAGCGGCTTCGCGTCCGCCTCTGCTGTCCGCTTTCGGTTCCGTGCTTCGAAGTTCGCCCGCAGCGCCGCCCTCTCCCGATCCTCCGCGCACTTCCGACGCAACCTCTGATCAGCTGCGTCGTGCTTCTTCTGAGCTTCCGACATGTCCTTTTCTCCGTCGTAAAGCGCCAGGCACTTGTCGCTCCCGCGCCGAACTGTACCCGCGCTCTCGTGCCACTTCGCGTTGCAGCTCGGCTTTCACATGGCTGCACTTCGTGCAGCACATTGTCCGAATCCTCCTCGGCGCCCCGTCGTCGCCCACTGCGTCCGTGCTTCCGCCGCTCGCGTGCCGCGTCGCATCGTCACCCTCCGCTTTCGTTGCCCACCCTCTGCGCGTTGTGCACGATTTTCCCTCAGAGTTTTCCATCTCTTCCGAGCATTCTGTACAAAACGCCGGCCTCTCTTTTCTCTGGGGCTCATGCTTCGAGAACGCTTCCACCAACAACCTCCAGCGGCGTCGCTCGCACTGGCCCCGCGGCATCAGTTCCGCCTCCCACTCCCCCCAATCCACGGCCTCCCCTCGAAGCGCTCGCAGTGGGTTCTTCGTGCCGGGCATCTCACCCTCGCTGTGCGGCTTCCTGTCAGAAGGCCGAAAGATCAAAGCGTTCTCTCGCCTGCGCACGCGCGCGATGGCAACGTAACTTGACATCCAACTCACGCCGCGCCCTCTCTCAAGGTCCGCTATGGCGGCCCCCATGGTCCGGCCCTGCGCAGAGTGCGCCGTCGCTGCCAAAGACGGGGTGATCATGAACTGGGTGCGTTTCACACTCAATACTGGATGCTTCCGATACCCATCCAAGAACCATTGCCGCCCCTTCGATGGGAAGATCGGGTGCGAACCTGGCTCCCGGCCTGGCAGGCGCCTCTCCTTCGCATGAAAACCCAGCGCTGTCACTCTCGGTAAATGCGACAAGACTTCTTCGTCTTCATCTCCCAGGATGTGGCGTAAGCCTATAGAATCATCTTGATGAGGCCCGCGAGCACTTTGTATTGTTTCTGACAGGAACGGCGGGAGTATCAGCATATTGCCTGCTGTGCGCACGGCTACCATCCCTAACCAAAAACAATTCAACATGCACCTCGCGGCTACCC